ATATATATATAAGTGATAATTAAGGAGGTCAAAGTAATATATACATATCAAATACACTTGTATATCATATGTCATGAAACGTGTCACAGTCGACATTCGTGAAAAATGCATTTTACGTTTCATGGTTATTTCAAAATGTTTTGTACTGATATTAAATAACAGTGGATGGCTTGACTGTAGTATTGTGTGAGTGAAAGTTATGTTCAGTGATGACTTTGCATGGAGTTGAAGTTAAAATAGTTTCTATTCTTTTTCATAGAATTTTAATTTTTAATCTAATTGTGAATTTGAAACCAAATTGCGTATTGCGAATGGGTTAATGTAGTGTGACGACAAAAAAAAAAAACTAAGTTGATTGTATCTTCGTGTGTTTCTTGTCCATCTGTTATGATACTTTTGTTAACATCATATCTATAAGATTGGCTAAAAGTGGATGTTGCGATTGAGTGCGAAAGATGTTGGGGTTGCTGAATAATTTGGTGATGTTGAGCATGAAGTTCAGATAGCTTAAACCAGCAACAATTCCATCAATAGATATACTAACAGGAGAAAGATCGAGAATCCATGTCCAAATCAACTCTCGTTTCATTCCAAGTCCGTATGCTACTATTATTTTTGTTGCTTTACTCATGTTGTTTACATCTGATTCATTGCTTCAGTCAGCAGCTTAAACTTTAGCTTCAAGCTAAAGTAGTAAACTTTGTTCATTTGTAATTTAGACCACTTACTTTTGGCATATTATACTCGTAAATCGTCCTTATATCACGAGTAGTCACTGGTGATTAACTGTAATTGTAGATTACCGTTCAATTCGTTGAAAATGAAGCGGGACAAGAAAGATGAAGAAAACGGTGGCGGTAATCCATTCGGCAATCTCGATAAAACAACTGTTTTGCAGGAGGTATTCATTTGTCGTAGGATTTAAATATTTATCATTTGTTTATAATTCAACCGTGAAAAGATTATTACAATTGGAAGCATTCTCTGAAATGAGCTACTCAATCTGTTTCAGATGAAGTAATTGCAAGAAAATACCAAGTAATATTGATAAGGCAGTGTTTCTTCGTTCATTCTGTTAACCATTTCTGATTCCCCATATAAATCAAAAAAAAAATCAGATATAAAGGGCTGTCTCAATAATCAAACTGATTATATTTATTTGAATTGTTTCTTTTATATCATTTTTGTGTTACATGTTTTGCAAGAAACTAAAAAAATAAAATTAATATTTTATTTAACGACAAGTTTTTTTTTTACTTGAACATTTAGGCCCGTGCTTTCAATGAAACACCGATAAATGCACGGAGATGTAGTCTGATCTTGAGTAAATTGCTATATTTACGGCAGCAAGGTGAAACTATCGGGCGTACTGAAGCAACAGAAGCTTTTTTTGCTGTAACAAAATTATGGCAAAGTAAGGATTCGAATCTGCGACGCTTAGTCTATCTTGCAATTAAGGAATTTTGCGATATCTCCAATGACGTCATCATCGTTACTAGCAGGTTTGTTCAAAGTTCATTCGTATTCATTTCCCTATTTCAGTAAAGTTATTTGGTGCTCATTTATATGTTTTATTGTGATTTGCAAACTGAAATAAGAAATAAAAACTTATCGAGTATATTTTAGTCTTACAAAGGATATGACTGGTCGAGAAGATATTTATCGTGCACCAGCTATTCGAGCTTTGTGCTGCATAATTGATGGAAGTATGTTGCAGGCTATTGAACGCTATATGAAGCAGGTTAACCATATTAACTATTTTTAGGAGTTCTGTGTTAAAATCCAAAATTGGTCGCTTGTCAATATTGAATATACATACAGCTAGGACAATAAAGGATGCAAATGATATGAAAACAGTGATTCACTTTAGGCGATTGTTGATAGAAATCCAGCAGTTGCATCGGCAGCCCTTGTCTCATCATTTCACCTGTTTCGGAAGAATCCGGAAGTGGTACGTCGTTGGGCAAATGAAGTACAGGAAGCTATTTCATCGGATAGGTTT